GGGGATGACCAATGGCTGTCCGCATGTAGCGAAATCCCCGACGTCCGGAGATAATCCCCAAATATGTCACTCCGGAAGCACATCGCATTGTCCGTAACTACGGATCCGATTCTCCCCACTGTACCCATTAAGGTGGACAGAGAACGCACCACGATTCGGGCTGAGATTCGTTTCGTCTGATACAAGTGAACATATCGAGTACAGTAGTCGATGACTACGAAGACATACCATGCCCGCTCTCCAGGGATGTTGGAAGGCCCTGCGAAATCAAGACCCACCTTCTCGAAGGGGCGGGTCGGGGGTTTGACAGGTTGCAACAGCCCTATTTTTACCGTCCCCTGTTTTTGCCTCTGGCAGACGCCACACTCCTTAACAAATCTGCGGACCTTGGCGAGAAACCCTTTGCCGATATCGAAACGTTCATTCACGCGCCTCTGAGTCTTCCAAATACCTGGGTGTCCAGCCATGTCGTCCTCATGACAAAGTTTGATGGCGTCAGTCATCAACACATTGGGGATACAGAGACGACCCTTGCGATAAAGGAGTTGGTCCTGAACGGTGTACCCTACAGACGGCCTTCGTAGGAGATCACGGAGGGCAGGGTCACGGCCCTGTTCTCGTCGGACGCGTTCGACGCAGAGTGTGGCGACAGAGAGCCTTGACAAGGCGTCAGCATTTCCGTTGTCCACCCCTCTCCGATGCACGACCTCGAAGTCATAGTCCTGTATGGCCATTGCCCACCGGACGAGTTTTGGGCAAAGGTTCGCCTTACTCTTTAGGTACTTCAATGAAATACTATCGGCCACAACTTTGAAGTGCCGGCCATACAGGTAAGAGTGGATTTTCTGTATCGCCCAAACCACAGCGAGACACTCCGTTTCCGACGAGTGGCATTTCATTTCGGCTTTCGTGAGGCGGCGACTTGCATAGGCCACTACTCTTTCCTTGCCCTCAAGAACCTGGACGAGTACAGCTCCGAGGCCGGTTCCACTCGCGTCTGTTTGTAATCTGGTCTCGAGACCATCCTGGTAATGACATAGGACCGGTTCTTTCGTTATCACCTCCTTAATGTTTTCGAACACCTGTTGGTGTTTTTTCGACCAGTCGAAGGTTGTGTCCGTCAAGAGTTCGTACAAGGGTGCGGCCATCGCGGCGAAATTCTTGATAAAACGCCCATAATAGGACGCCAGTCCCAAGAAGCTCCTCAGCTCCTTAAGGCTAGTCGGTGGAAGGATCCCTTTCACCGCGGCAACCTTCTCGGGGTCAGGAGCTATACCATGGGGAGTGACTTTATGGCCTAGATACGTGACTTCTTTCGTGGCGAACAGGCACTTTTTTGCTTTCAACTTCAGCCCCGCTGTTTGAATCTTCTTCAACACTTCCCTGAGGTCCGTGAGATGCGTTCCAAAATCCTTCGAATAGATAATTATGTCATCGAGGTAGACGAGGGCCATTCGGTACTTTAGCGGTCCGATGACTCGGTCCATTAACCGCTGGGAAGTGGCCGGAGCGTTTGCCAACCCGAAGGGCATCCGCTTGAACTGGAACAACCCGTCGGGGGTACAGAAGGCGGTCTTCGCTTTGTGATCTGGCGCCATCTCAACTTGCCAATAACCGCTTATGAGGTCCAACGTACTGAAGTAGCTATTACCGGAGAGGGCATCAAGCGCATCCTCTATCCGCGGGAGTGGGTAAACGTCCCTCTTAGTGACTGTATTCAACTTCCGATAATCCACACAGAACCGTATAGAACCATCTTTCTTCTTCACCAAAACTACCGGTGCCGCCCAGGGACTCGAGGAGGGTTCTATGATTCCAGAACTCAACATTCCGTCAACTTCTTTGGTGATTGTCTGCCGCTGGACAGGGGCTACGCGTCTCGCTGGAAACGCGATCGGTGGCGTGTCTCCTGTCGGAATGGTATGTTGTACAAGGCCGGTACAGGACAAGTTGTCGGGCTGACCGAACAGATTCGCGAATTCTTCGTTGAACATACGGATCAGGCGATCTTCTTGACTTCTCGTCAAGTCTTTTCCTAGTCGTACTTCATTCTTCGTCCAACTGGAATCTACTCTCTTCTCAGCCGATTTCGTTATCTCCATTGGCTCATGGGCTTGCCCAAGTGATGTTCCTTCTTTGAGGTATATGGGTGTATTTTCCAAATTCACCACCAGGATTTCACAGTCACCCCCCTTGTTCGATCTCACTATGCTATACGGTGTTATGAACTGGCTGCCGGGAGCACAGTGTAATGTACCGTCCAGTTGCAGGGTACTTTTCGGCTTCTCCGTTAGAGCCTTCACGAACATCGCTGCCTGTGGGGGTATCACCGTCCCGCTCTTAGCTTTACAAGCAGAACTCGGTCGCGAATAAGCTTGGGAATCCTGAACTTTATTGACGAGATCGAATGATTTGGTGAGGAAGGGTTTACCCAGGATGACTTCCTTCGATAAATTCTTGATGATGAAAAATGGTTCCCGTGACCCGTCGACTTCCAATTCGACGGCACCGATGACGTGCATGGGTTTTCTCTGAGCATCTGTCACGTAAGGCTTCTCTGTTGGCTTCAAAATATCGAGGTTCGGGTCGTCCAGGTTGAGAATGGTCGGTGATATCGCGTTGACATCGGCGCCCGTGTCTAGCGTGGCCGTCCTGAGTCCTCCCTGGATGTTGACTCGCATTTCGAAGGGGTTTGCAGAATCATTCCCGATGCATTGTACTTGGAGCTTACGACCGTACTGACTGCATTCTGCTCGGAAATGTCCACTCTTCCCACACTTGAAGCAAACTTTCGATGCTTTTTCTGGTGTCCTAATTGGCGGCTTAGTCTTTCCTGACGGCTCCTGTCTTTGGCTTATCGGTGTCTCTATCTTCGACTGTTGGTCTTTGTACTTGACGGCCACCTCCATCAGTGCCTCGAAATCTTCGGGGTTGGCGGAGACAATGAAGTTCCTGAAGTTCACCGAATTACATGAGTTCTCTATCTCATCTAGGAAGTTTGAGAAATCGAAGGGTATCTCTAATTCCCGCAGCAACGACTGTTTCTTCCGGATGAAACCCGTGAATGACTCGTTGGGGAATCTTTTCCGGTTGTAGTATTCAGACGGAGATTTCTTTTTCCCTTTCGGGAATTGTCCGTAGAGTGCCTCCTTGAACTTTTCCCAGTTCTCGTATGGACCGGTGTGTACGAACCAAGCCTTGGTGTCGTCGTCCATGGTCCGATAGGCGAGGCGTATGACTTTCTGTTCCGTCCATTGATTGACTGCGGCATCCATCTCTAGACGCCTCAACCATTTCTTCGGGTTTTCTGGGTTAAACTGCGGTAGATCGCTGACAGAGATGATTTGCTCCATGAGCGTCGCGAGAGTGTCGACGACTTCTGGGCATGCCACTTTGTCCATACCGCTGCCACCAAAATGTAGCACGCCGACAACGAAGGGTGGGAATAATGCGTTACTTTATTAGAAGGTTATCCCTTTTATACCCTGTGGCGCTGCCATCGGCAGTGCATCAATAGGTACTTATGTAACTGATCGGACGATGGAGAGAAGAACGTAAGGATAGAGAAATGATCAACGACGAGTATACATCGAGTACACTTATTCGAGCAAGTTTGCCCGGCAAGTCGGGCACCTGGGCTGCACTTGAAACCACCTTCTCAGGCACTCTCTATGGAAAATGTGATGACAAGGGAGATTGACGTTTCCGGGACCGATCATCTCCTCGCGACAAATGACACAGACGGTGCCTTCGGCGAAGAGTTCTTCTCCGCTTGCATCGCGATACCTTCAAAAATATATATGCTTCAAATCTCGGAGCGAAACAATTTCTATGAGAGGAGATCCGCTCGATATCGATCTCGATGGAGAGCTTTATCAGGATACTCACAGGGTGTTTAAGAGATGCATGGCTCTCCGCAGGGCATGAAGCTTCCGGTAGACTGCATACATCGTCCACGAACTGATCCAGGTTGGCCGGATGGCGAGAGCGAGGAATTCTCTAGACGAAATCAACATGAGCCCAATGTAAGTAAAACAGGCAATCACCTGGAATACGGGGTTCGATTATATATTAGTAGAGCTTGGAAGTTCAGGCATTACCGTAAATCTTCTATTAGAAGCCCGGGCCTCTATTTTTTCCGAGTGCCTCCTCAGAGGGGCTTGTATTGGAGAGGGGCTTCTATAGGAGGGGGCTTATAATTACTCGAACCGCAAAACCCTGACGATCAAGTAATGGAGAACTGCCGATGCTTTGAGATAGGAGAGAAATCTCGTCCATTCTTCGAGATGCACAGCTCTCCTGAGCCTTAGCCGAGCGCTACTGTGACCGCATGAGGTACTAAACGAAGTTATTCGTCTGAGAAGCGACGTTTGCGTGTTTAGACACACAACAGTGTGGAACGAAAATCTCCCGTAATCGTTGTGCACAGATTGACGTTTCGACTCGGGTGACGTCGGTGCTCTCTCGGCTCTCTACGATGAGGGGAAAATCTTCCGGAATAGCACGGTTACATGCGATCTCGGGCGGAAGAGGGGCTACTATTAGAGAGATGGGCTTCTATTGGAGAGGGGCTTCTATATTTACGAACCTCCCCGAGGGGGGGCTTGTATTGGGGAGGGGCTACTATTAGTAACGGGGCTTCTAATAGAAGATTTACGGTAATCACTTTTTCTTCTTTCTTGCGCACATAGATTGATGGATAGATTGATTAATGATGATTGAATTTTCGGATTCTCTCGGTCCCCGAACAGAATAGATCATTGCATGCCTCAATTTCAGGGGGGTAAACATGAACAAGAGATCAGAGTATATCACAGTCAGTTAATAGGCTTTTTGAGCGAGTGGATCCACTCTGCGATCCTCTAGGCGAACTGGTGGTTGATGTGTTCGGAGCGGGCCAGCGCTTTCAGGAAAACAGTGACTCCGCTGCGGAGATCGTTGGCGCTAATGGAGAAGAAGTCAGGAAGCAGATTTTCCCGGTGGCGTAGCGAGGCGGGGGGCGGTGGGGCATCACTGTTCTGGGGGCATCACAACGCCCGATAGGAGAGCCTTAAAGCATAATTTTCCATCAAGTTCGATCGTATTGCATGAAGGCTCATATTGACTTCCATCGGTACTCAGATCTTGGAACGACAAATTCAGGAAAAATTCGAGAAAAAAATCCGAGGGGGCATCAAATGGAGGACCCGGCACGGGATTTTCGGAAACCGCCACTGGCATCGTCGAGGCATGCTACGCCACTGGATTTTCCTGTTTCAGTAGGAAGTAGGCTGCCCGATCATGCTCGGCGAGCCCACAAATCGGGCTCGTGCATACGGTTCCAACATTTGCTCGGAGAGGATGCAAACCAGGGACTCTCGGTCACCTCAGGATAGAGCCGCCTACCGGTTCGAGAAAAGCGGTCTCTCGCGCAAGACACGTCAATTTGTCCCATGCTGAGCGGCTTACTACAATATGCACAGCGTCGTGACCACCTGACCCCTCGAATCACAGCATTGGACAGTTCCACCTCGATTTCGGAGAAAAATTATTACCTCCCAAGTAGAGAACAATGAAAGAATTCGTGACGACAATCTTTATTCATCGCCCCTCTGTCGATTGACGCAGTATAATATGTCCATCTGTAATATCTTTCGTTTATCTTTAAGTTAAAATTACCACCAAGGAAAATATCTCGCCTAATGAAACACTTGAGTCTCGCTTATCGCCGAGCGATCGCGGAACGATGCGATACGCGTGGCTTCTGAGCTCTCCATGAAGTGCATAGCATAAATCCGACGAGCCAGATACGTGGGAGGGTTGCCCACACGAAATCGAACTACCCAGCACGCCTATGCTGCCCGTTTGCGCCTCCTTCAAGATCACAACAGAACAAGCAGTTTCGAGGGAAAGAAAGAGGAGCTTAGAGAGGCGGATCGTTCATGTCAACTGATTTTGGCTCCTTTCCCTCAGAGCGAGATGATCTCTAGATCTATGATCAAGATCCGCCGCTGCGATTCTGGATTTTAACCGCTCCCACTCCCCTTTATCTCTGATTTTCCCTCTATCATAGTGCTTCGTCTGGAGCGGCCTTTCTTCCTCATCCGCGGTCCGCGGCCATATTTGTTTAGTAGAAAATTCTGGGGCAACTCCGAGTGGACTGACCATCGGAGCAAGTGCCTTTCTGTCCCACTGCCCCCCGTCTCTCCGATCAAGTTCACATCCGACTCTTTCGCGCGAAATAGACCTCATTTTTAGTTATAAAGGTCGTCATCTTCATCATTTTGGAAACTGCCTTGACCTCCAGGGTTACCTCCCGCGGCAGGCGTCTGCGTCGGGAACCGGAAGTTGTTCCCGAATCCTCGGGATTGCTGCAGGGTCTGAGCGAACATCTCGTACTTTCGAACATCGTTCTCATTGACCGATTTCCGAGCAAACTTCATCGATTCCTCGAAGTGGTCCCTACGGATTTCCGGGACGGGATCCTCGTCCATCTCCATGGCGTTACTACCCTCGGCACGGCTCTGAAAAGGATGAGGAATCGTATTTCAGAGTCGTGGCTGCCAGCGTGGCGATCTCTGTATTCGGGGACGAATCTTTCGAAGCACAACTGACCTTCTCACGTTGGATCTCTTTCTGAATGCTTTCGCTGATCGCGATTTTCGCAGCCCGTTGACAAATTTCTGTGACGTCAGCCCCGGAGAAGCCAGACGTGATTTTGGCCAGGAATCCAATGTCGACATCTTTTGCGACTGGGGACTTTCTCAAGCAAGCCCTGAAGACTTGCATGCGGGACTTTTCGTCCGGTAGTGGAATATATATCAATTGATCGAGACGGCCGGGTCGCAAGATCGCAGGATCGATAATATCGGGTCTATTCGTCGCGCCGATGATGAAGACATTCTTCTTCGCCCCCATTCCGTCCATTTCGGTGAGGATCTGATTGATGACGCGATCGGCGGCACCTCCGGCATCACCAACGCTCCCGCCTCGAGACTTCGCAATCGAGTCCAGCTCGTCGAAGAAAAGCACGCAAGGAGCTGCGGCTCTCGCCTTGTCAAAAATATCTCGGACATTCGACTCGGACTCACCGAACCACATCGACAGCAGTTCGGGACCCTTGATCGAGATGAAGTTTGCCTGACACTCGTTGGCGATCGCTTTGGCCAAAAGAGTCTTCCCGCAGCCAGGCGGTCCGTAGAAAAGGACGCCCTTCGGTGGTGACATGCCAAACTTGAGGAACTTGTCCGGATGCTCAACCGGATACTGAATCATCTCCTGGAGTTCCTGTTTCACGCCCTCCAGACCGCCAATGTCCTCCCAGCTCACGTTGGGAACTTCGACGACCGTTTCTCTGAGAGCCGACGGCGAAGATTTGCCCATGGCCCACCTGAAGTTCTCCATGGAGACGGCGAGAGAGTTCAAAACCTCAGCGTCGATTTGATCGTCCTCGAGGTCGATGACGTCCATCTTCTCTCGAATTTGTTGCAGAGCGGCCTCCGAGCACAAAGCAGCCAGGTCGGCGCCGACGAAGCCGTGAGTCTCCGCCGCTATTTTCTCCAAATCGACATCGTCCGCGAGTTTCATGTTCTTGGTGTGGATGCGGAGAACTTCCAGACGTCCGGTCGCGTCCGGGATGCTGATGTCAACCTCGCGATCGAAACGTCCGAAACGACGTAGAGCAGCATCGATCGAGTTGGGACGATTGGTCGCGGCCATAACGATCACGTGAGCTCTCTGCTTGAGACCGTCCATCAGAGTCAGGAGTTGGGACACGATTCTCCTTTCGACTTCACCATGGGTCTTCTCTCGCTTAGGCGCGATCGCATCGATTTCGTCGATGAATATGATCGCGGGTGAGTTTTTCTCAGCTTCCTCGAAAGCCTTGCGCAGGTTGGATTCGGACTCACCAGCGAGTTTGGACATGATTTCAGGACCGTTGATCAAAAAGAAGAAGGCTCCGGTTTCATTGGCGACTGCGCGAGCAATCAACGTCTTTCCAGTTCCCGGGGGTCCATAGAGCAGGATACCCCTCGGGGGCTTGACTCCGATTGTTTTGAATAGCGATGGATGGCGGAGTGGCAGCTCGACCATCTCCTTGATGAGAGCGAGTTGTTTCCGGCAACCACCAATGTCATCGTAACCGATTTCATTGAGGCTCTCCTCCTCCTCTTCTCGCTTGATCGGCTCGCCCTCGCAGTGGATGACGGTGTCCGGGGCCACGATACAATAGCCGGCAGGATCGGTTTCGACCACCTTGAATTCGACAGCGCGCATGCCGCCGCGAACGATGAAGAGATCTCCTTTGTGAATAGGCCTGTAGGCTTCGAGGAAGTACGGCTTGAGGAATACCTCGAAGAGACTCCCTGTCAAACCCTCGACCGAATCGTCGATAGGCAGCACGTGGATCCGTTTGCCGTATTTGATATCGGGGCAGCCCTGGACGGAAATTACGTCTCCCAGGCGGACTCGAAGATTATTGCGAATACATCTGTTCATGCGGATTTTCTCGTTCGGACATGTATCGTCCGAGATCACGATGGCGACCGTCTCGCGACGTTTGCGGCCCTGGAAAAGAGGAGTGGCTCAGAGACCAGATGGCGCCCACTCCTCGCATTCATCGAGATTTCAGCCATTATTCGCGAGCTCCATGCCGCGAGCCGACCTCGTCACTCCTCTTCCTCACCTTGAGAAGGACAGTATCTCCGCGGAAGAGATTCAGTTCGTCCATTTTCGCTTGTGAAAGATGGATTACAGAGTTGTCATCGGTGACAGCTTCATCGACGAGGAGCCTGTTGGGCTTATCTTTCGGCTTCAGGATCGCCGTGGCGATATCGTCTGGGCTGGAAATGCGGAGAATTCCTTTGAATAGATGCATTCTTCGAATCTTCGATAAAACCGGAATCGCCGCCACAGAAAGGTGTCTTCAGCAGAACCATCGAGCAGGAGTCGGCAATACAAGTGGACGTTTCGTACAACTAGGGAATCATATAACGAGCATTGCACGAAGCATCTTTCAAGTATCTCATTGCGAAGAGTATCGATGTCAGAAGCCACGTCCTCGGATAATGAGATACATTCAATTCGATTCCCACTTGTTTCTCCAAACCGGTAGTGCGGATTTTCGAGGGAACGATCCCCGTCGACAGGACTTGGCAGCCGGCGGCGACGTTCACCCCGCCGGATCCGAATCGTTGGCTCCGGCAAGCATAGATCCAGCCGGGAAAAGATATGGATTGGTAACCGCAGGAGCTCGAGAGGATTTAATTCGCGGAAGTCACAGGATCGGCAGAGAAGAAACTCTTCAGGGTTGTCGAGGGGCATTATTCCCCGTTTTCCCTTTCCTGATTCTGTTCCGAGCATTGATCGCAAGCTCAAGTGTTAGCGAGGACACGGCCCGAGACCAAAGTGGAACTAGAGAGACGAAATAATCTACATGATGACTCGCCACTTCTTGGGCCACCTCTTCAGCTCTTTTTTCGGAAGTCTTAGGACCGATAATTCCGTTAACAACCAACACATTTCCGGAATGACCGGGGACTCACTTGGACTTCGGCTCAGGCATAGTGAGGCTGCGCTGAAAAAATCCCTCTGAGAACAACTACGAGATGTCACTCGAACACGCAGTATGTATGATCGGATCGTCGCCGGGAGGTCTATGGCCAAACAAAAGCAGACGATGACGAATATCGAAGGTGGATAATTCGCAGAGAATATCCTGAGACTGACTGTTCGGTGAAGACTGTCGCCGGAGGCTGAGCACAACCGAACTTGCGCGAATTCTCGATCGACGGCGCAAAGGAAGCACAAGAGCTGAAAGCTCGAAGTTTTACAGTAATCTTGTGTATATCTCTGTCCGCTATATGCGACGCTCTACTGCGGCAGCAGAGTCGTCAATGATGTCGATGATCTTCGTCGGTGGCGCGGTTGGGCACCAGATCATCACTATCTAGCTGATAGAGAAGCTGCCATACTTAAGTATGTGCGATCGCAGGACCTTCTCTCCTGATCTTTACGAGATGACCCATACGCATCCTCGTCATTCCGCTAGTCGCCATGTTTCTCGGGATTGGTGTGAACTCCATTCATCAAGTGTCTGGTCTTGGTCAGAGGGCCGATCGTGAGTTTACCGAAGCGCTGTTTGTTCCCGGAGTGGAACGGAATTAAAAATCGATTGGTAGATTGACTGACAGAGGCTTTGAAGCATACTTTCCGTTTCAGGTTGTCGCCGCAGCTCTCTTCGAATAGAGCCGGCTCTAGTGAGCTTGCTCCGACTGTGGACACACAAAGCAGACTGACCACGAAAGGGTGACGCGTTGCTCACTGGGCATCGGCTTCTCGTCGCGCATGGCGAGCTTCAGCTTCCCCGATTCCGAGGAGGACCGAAGCTGTTCAATCTCTGATTCCTGACAGCTCTTCCGCGATGAAAACTTTCGCTCTTCACCCTGGAGTCAGTCAGCCGTATGGCTCTAAGCTAGGGTGACGTGCAAGGCGCGAGTGTAAAGCTCGCGCACGAGCTCACTCTCTGATCGTCATTCGGTCCGTGTACCAACGTACACGCGACCGTGAAGCTCGGACCCGCAACTACGCTGCGGTTGCGCACCGCCGCTTGCTCGGCGATTTTGGGGTTGAACACCCGATCCCAAAGGGTGTTGATGGGATCCGCGGGGTCCGACACACGTCGTGGGCTACGCAACCGAAACCCAAACGCAGCTGATACGTAGCCGCCGACGCAGGAGCCCTAAGAATTGTCTAGGAATTCGTTCAGAGACCAAGGATAGTCCGGCGATAACAAGTTTCTTCCGAGGCCTCCTCCCAGGGATGGAGCATCGGCCATGGACTAGGTATACACATGTCTGTAGTGCTCCCCCCTCGCAGAGCGGAATGAGCGAGTCACCTTACAATATCGGAAATGAAAACGCACATATAAATGGTATCATAAAGCTCTTATGCTCTTGTGAAGATAGCGCGCATTTTAAAAATCGCCAGAGGATAAACATCGAAAAACCCGTCGGGCGATGGACGATCCTCCAGCCATCAACCAGAATTTTCTGACTTCCTCCATTCAGCCATTCATTCACTTATCAGGACTCAGCACAGTGCCGCTGATGAACAAAATGGACTCGTCAGTAGGGCTCCCAAATACCCGTCAGTTTCAAGGACCGCGATTCTCGGGTACCTGAGAATCGTGGAGTCGGAACCGCGGGTAAAAAACGGAGAGGACCGTAAGTGGGTGACCTGATTATTCGGTCCATAGGGCCTACCGAGCGAGATTTGATGTGTGGGTTTTCAAGACCCGGGTCGACCTACAATTCCCGCGCTATCTCGTCTAAATCGCGGGGGTACTCCCCTTCTTAACGTGCATGGGGGAGACATTCAGCCATCAAAAACATCTCGGCCTCAACCCGCGGTTCCATAACCTCGGGTTGGACGCTGGAAGCCCTACTCTTCAGTGTCACCGAATCAGTCGTCCTCGGATCGGGGGCCGCGGCTCCCTTGAGAGGATTGGATCAAGCCGCCTTATTGCGTTGGAATCCACAGCGAAGACCATCAACATCAGCGTCTTCACTTCCCTCAGCTGAGAGAGGGATACTGCACTGCTATTCTTGCTTCCCTCCACTAAGTTTTTGCATGGGCTCCCCATGGAGCCGAACCGCGTACGGTCGCTCCGCACTCCCGATTGAATAATATTCATGACGAAAAGCAGGGTGTACAGGGAGCCCGCCGTTTATTCGCGCGGGTTTCCTCTTCCTCAGACACCCCAGCAGACAGCTCCAAAAAGAAAACCCTCGGGTCGCCATCTTTCCGGCCGATTTAGCGGTCGACTCTCTGACGGGCTCGGAAATATCCACTGATATTCTCGGAGGAGGCGGCCCGCCCCGGCCTTAGACCGCAAAACTGTATATTCTGGATTCTTGTCATGTTCCCATAGATCCACAGCAAGGGGAGATGCTTTCGTGCTCTGCGAAATTCATCGCGATCATCATCATCAACAGCAGCAGCTGTGTGAGTGTCTCTTAGGTGCGAACTGAGAGAGTGTGTGCGGTGGTTACTGTCTCTAGACAATACTTCGGAGTCTTCTCAAAAAGCCGGGAACAGAAGAGTTTCGGACGCGTGCGGCGTTGCTGAATCAGAGAGGAACACATCGCTGCAGCTGGCGGGAGATGGCCGGGTTGAAAGGTACGAAGTCTTGTCGGAAATTAATTTTCCGGTTATGTTGTCTTGTCCAGTCATGGAGCGCCGCGCCGTTCGTTGCTCTCAAAGGACGCATTACTGCCTTTGAGCGCCGTAAACTTTGGAGTAGAACAATCGGAGTGGAGCAACAATATCCATCCATCTTCAATTGTTGACTAAGGGTGGAAACCTCCGCTTTTCTCTTCCATTCTTGGACGACCAATCATCTTCACCGTCATGGGGACCTACAACTACAAAGCGTGAGTATGGATTGAGGGACATAAGTTAAGCAATGTCTAGACTGACTCATCAATGAACCTCGGAATCTCAATGGAACTATTGGAACATCGTACGGAGCACTACTTTTGTGATGTTTGCCGTTGCTCGACATCATGCGTTCTGAGAAGCTGCATTCGAGTGACTAATGGCTGTGATGCAGTTGAGCCCCCTTCCTGCATTCCTGAATCTAATGCTTGTCTGGACTCAGCATGGCAATATTGGATCAGGGTAGCTCCCCGATCTCACGATCGCAACGATCCAGCTCTCGATTCAGAATGAGATTACTAGTAGAAAACAGCAAGGAAACGCCGAGAGAAATCTAGTTCTCGGGACATTCGCCGATGATGCATCCGCTTCATGCGTAACTGACGATGCCACCCTCTGACGTTGGATTCTGCCTGTAGATTTCAAAGCCAATGGATCTTTTTGAGAACCGGCTCCACTTTCACTCTGACAAGACGGGAACACGATGAATTTCCAATTCATGGCGAGTCCCTGATCTTCGAGCTTTCCTTTTCAGTTTGGTCGCACTGGCGTTCACAGGATCGGTGGGGATGACGATGCTCATCTTGGCTTGTGCTCTACCAAGTTACGGGTGAGCGATTCCGAGGACAAACATGATCCCGAGAACTCGTTCGGGCTACTTCTCGCCAGGCCTATATCAGATTCCGACGCAATCTTCGTGCGAGTTGCCCTTATGATTCTATTCCTCTTCAGAACTTGGTATCCTTTCATCAACGTGGTTTTCTACATGCTGGCGCTACCTCTCATCCTCATCGTGAGAAATTCACGCGACGCAATGAGCTCGGTTAGCACGAGACAAGAAGTTTCGCTATTCCTCACAGCCGTGCTCTTGGTGTCTGCATTTGCTCTTCCCGTGATTCTGGCGCGTGTGCCAGAAGACCCGAAACTTGTGAGTTGTCGCGTGTTCTCGGAAATTCCCCATCGTTCCTGTTCCTTCTTGATGATGTATGCATCAAGCGGATCTTGACTGGCTTTCCGCTTCTTCCGCAGATCCAGTGGAGCGCTTGCGGCCTCACCCTGCTGGCGAACGTCGTCGTTTTCGGGACCATCATAGGTTTCTTCGTGTCCTTCAGCGGGAGTGATTCTGACTATTCCACGTGGTGATCGACCGAATGTAGTTGCCCTGTATACTATGTAGCCCCGACTCGATGAGCCTATCGGACGTGTATATTTATAAGAATAAGTAGGTACTTTTCACGGTCTTCAATTGCCCGGACTGGGACGAGGAGTCCATTCCTATGCAGTATGAGAAGGTTGAGGGGCCCAGGGAGGTTGACATTTTCATCTCCTTGTGACGGAAATCATGAAAGGACTCGTCGATTTAGGAAACCCCCCAGCCGAGCAGTGATCAGCATCGGGAACCTCTAGAGCCGACTCCATTGCCGAGATCCCTCTCGATAGCCAGATGGGTATGAAAATTTCCGAATCCTTGGCACCCGACCTCATCTGTCGGGAGAATTCACATCCTAAGGTCACGTGGAAACCGGGGATGAATCTCGGAACTCTCAACGAAGAGAAATTGTCGCAGATGGGACGAGGTGAATAAAACACAAATCTTCAGCACACGACGTTTCATTTCAATCTAAGGTTTTTCTCACTCTATAATTTACAAGGACTAGATGATGTTTGACGTCGTCGTTGCTCTTTCGAAGCAATCGGCATCGAGCTTCCTTCCTCCGCAATGCAAAAGGGTAGCAAATTTTTACAGAACAGGTCTCATCGTGAATTTTCTGCGTTCTCGATGGTTTGAAAGTCACGACGTTCCGGCGAGCTGGATATGTGGGAGTCTTTCAGGCAGGCAGCGGAGCCCTCGTCAACTTCATGAAGTCCCTCTTGTCTTTCAAGAAGGCGAGCAGCCCGTCAGGATTCTTCTCGGATCGGGGAGAGCCGTAGTCGATGGCCTCGCCTTTCAGATTCACCATACGACCGCCGAGCGACTCCAAAATCGCATTGCCTGCGCAAATGTCCCACTTCTTGATAAGCGTCGTGTGTATGTACAAATCTGCCTTGCTCTCGGCCACCTGCAAAGCTTTGTACCCCGATCCGCCGGCCGAAGTGACCGTGATGTCCCCCCCGAGAGCGTCGCGAGCAAACTGTTTCACTTTGCCAGCATGAGATCTAGAAACAACTATATCTACAGCATCGTCATCGGGTTTGACTTTTTTAGTATTGTAAGCATTGTCGATGTTTATACTGTTCATGATAATGCTATTATTGCCGTCGTCGTCGTCAGCGATTTGAGGCCCACGCAAGCTCCTCGACGGACCCTGACCAACCCAACCCCACACGGTCCGATTCGCGAACGGCTGATGTATTACGCCGATGTGAGCGCGACCTTCCACGGCGATGCACACCATCGTGGTCACGTACTCCGTCAAACCCTCCGTATATTCTTGGGTCGCGTCGAGCGGGTCTATCCAGACCAATATATCACGCAATCGAACAGTTTCATCCACGAAGTTGCTAATCGATTCAGGCAGGTTCACGTCATCGAGTCCGGGAGCGCTGGTTTGAGAAGAGGTTTTCTCGTCTTCGTGTTCTTCGGAAACTACATTCAAATGAGGAAAAATCTTGAACAGCGTTTTGAGCATGACGCGATGACTGCGCATATCGCCATCGGTCAGCGGATCGACTTGACCGAGTTGATTGATTCCCTTGCTTCGGATATTGAGATTCTCCTGCCTTGCGCGCACGACCTCATTGCCTGAAAATAGTGGGAGTTACGCACTTCGTCGACTTTCTCTGCCGGTGTAGATAATCCAAAGCTCGCGGGGAAGCGTTATACGATCTCAGACAATGCAATCAGCGGACTTGGGACGTAGTAAAGCTATTTCGAGCGACCCGACTCACCTCCTCTGATTGCCGCGAGGACCGACGTTCTGAGAAGGAGTCGTAAACTGACTCTCTCTATCCGCGACGCCTGCATTTCCGTGTAGAGTGTGTAGTGTACGAGGACAAGGACGAAAGCCAAACCCAGAACAATGGACAAGTTCGCTGGGCGGCATTGTTTCATCCAGACCATTTTACTTCACTCGGCTCCTAGGATGGGTTAAGGTGCAGGGATGCAGTTTCGCCCGCCGGGATAGAGAGAGAACCTCTCGGTATGATGATTTCCCTAAAACTGAAGACAATGTTGAGGGTCAGACACGTGATCATGACCATCGTTAAGCCACTGTGCGAAATGCTCTTAGTACAGAAAACTCCGATGAGGAGATCACTGAGATCGGGCAGTTCGGAGATTCGGAGCGAGTGGGCAAAGGACTCGATCCCCACCGGCCATCCACGGATACCGTCTGCGTCATCGACCGATCAATTATTTCAGGTACACTGATCGATCCGGAGAACCTACACGGAATCGTCGGTCCGTCGAAATTCATCAAGCATTCTCATGTAGCTCAGGGCGTTGTCTGGGAATGAGTCCCGACGGCGGAGAGCGCAGTTAGGGATACGGGATCGCAGCATGGCTCACTTTCGCCGGCGTCTTGCTTGTCTCAATGTGGTTTCAGCATGAAATCACAAGCCGGAAACTAGGAAAGAACTTTCGAAGGGCGCCCTCTCCGGATATACGATATTCATAGTGCGGCAACTAGAGACGAGGATACTGGTGGATTATAATGAGTCGAATAGATGCAGCGCTTGTCCAACTCGAATTGCCGCTCATGTTAACAAGAAAGGAGAACAGATGTTCCTACGAGTCGCGCCCCACTTAGCGACAGCTTCCCAGGACAGGTTATGAAAAGTTCGTTCATAGTAGAGTCAGGAGCGGCTCTGCGTTGATCACGCTCTGAAATCCGAAAACTGTGGGGGGAGTCTGCGATTCCCGACTCCCGAGAGAGCGGTACCGGACTTCGGTACCGATACCGACCTCATTCGGGTGGCTCAGAGAACGCTTGCGCGGGGCAAAAAAACTGTCTCCTCAGACGATCTCGGCAAGAGCCGGCTTCCACCGTTGATGGGAACCGCATGGTCAAAATTCCCATTGCAGGGACTCGGTGCCTGGGGCTCCGAACGTGGCGGAGCGTCAAAGAGGACCGTCAGGTGAGAGACAGCCGAGCTCTCATCGACGAGATATCTCCGTCCAGGAATAGATTCATGTCCTCACCTCTATATCAGGATTCCTCATTGTGGCGAAAGAAGCACACGTAGGTGTCCTTCGAAGAGCTAGTGCTCGGAAGGCATGGGATTCGGCTTGTACAAGAGTACGCCAAGGTCCTCCTTCGTATCCACGCTGGGTTGAGGAACCATACGAATAGGCGTTCATTAAGTGTACTGGTAACCTATACACGGAGCACGGGGGTTAAAGTGAACAAAAATGGGATCTGTTGTTGGGAGGATCCCGCGTCATTTGACCGCCGGACAAGATGGCGACAGGTCCCGTTTGACGGTTAAATCAGCGGGCGACCGCAGCGCCTTCCGCGCGCGATCACGTTCGAATTCGGCCCGCCGAGCTCCTCATCTTTCAACATTCAATCAATGAGAGGGGACTCTATTAACGTTGACAGGGTCGTCGAAGCGGAGATTTCGAACGAGAATCGCTCAAAGTTTGTCTCTACCGGCCGAGTTCCCGAACATGAAGCGCATGCTTCGATGCGGGTCTCCTCTGCGGTGAATCCTGTCCCTTTTACACATGGGCCTGAAATCTTACGGGAAAGGATTTCTGCCCCGAGACTCTACCGGGAGGAATCTCCCGATCCTGGATTGGTTCCGCAATAACCTTCCTCCAGCCATTCGGCTTCTTTCTAAGGATAGGGAACGTGCTCCATAAAAATAGGAAGGTTGATCGTCTCCTCGACCCGCTTGACGCTCAATTTTCGTCCTAACTTTCCCAAGTTGGTAAAGGCTGGCATAGCCGAAGAGAGAAAGACAGACCTTCGACGATCTGTTCGAATACCTGCCGATCATGGAATCCGGAGCTGACGAGACTCACACATTAAACACCTTCCCGAATCCGACGATCGGTGAGTCTGTCAGACCATCGGTGCGGATTGAGAACACTTCTTGGAATCGCTCTATTTCTCACGTCTCCAAAATGAGACGGAGAACTCGGTAAAGAACATTCGGATGGGTTCCTTCATCGTTATGCGGTAGCCGAAAGTGCGCTCCCTTGCTCCCGGGCCCGTTGTTCAGAGAAGCTTGATGATCCTTTAAGTTTCCGATCCATTGATATTTTGGTTTTCCGTATAATTGTATTTCCCCGCATTTATGCGATGGGTCCCGCTATCTCCCCCCTTTTTCCTTTTTCCCCATCTCGGTAATCACGTGCGTCGGGACTCCGGACGCTTGCTCTCCCGCACTGTTCGCAAGTTATTCCCGTGGTATATTTGAGCCACATGTGTGAATTTCTCGTATGCGTCAGTCTTCATGTTTATCAGATGTCACTCTTATCCCGAACTAAAATACATACATATACCAGGAAGACCAGACGCGAACTATTGGAAGCAGTCTCATTTTTCAAGAGAATCGCCCAAATTTCCTAGATCCCATTCGGTACCGTCAGATCTTGTGTTTTACCCTCCGGCACATGGATCTGTCTCTCTCCCCTCTTCCAGCTATCTCAAGATATCGGAAGCCCTCAAATATTATACATTTTTACGTTCGTCAGATAGGGACGGAAGAAATTCGTGTTCCGATATCGGTAGGACTCCGACCGGGCAGATATCCTTATCATAGCGCCTGATCTTGCGACTCACGATCGGCGTATCCTCGCGGTACTCCAGAGGCTAGAGGAATGGGGTTTCCGATTACGTCTCGCAAAATGTAGTTTCGCTCCATACGTAGTATCTGGGATTAATCGTGACGGATTAAGGGTCTCGAAGCGGATCCGTAGCGAGTTGCGGCCATTCAATCGCTCGCCTCCGAGGATGGAAACCCTTCGTGGCTAATAGAATCAGAAAAATCCACGAATTGACCATCGACGCGAAGTGGCATTACGTCCGTTCAGAGGATGATCCGGCAGATATATTATTATCGAGGGGCGCCGACATATCCAAATACTCAACATCTAACCTGTGGTTTCATGGGCCACAGTGGCTAAGTTTGGACGACACCGATTTGGAAGCACAACTGAAACTCGAGCGCGCTCCTCTCGGACGTGCGCCTTGGGCTATGTTCAGAGGAAGGGCATAGACTTCGACGAGACGTGTTCACCAGTAGCTCGGTATGACTCGTTGAGGGTCCTCCTGGCAATCGCGGCTTCCCGCGACATGGATCTGGCGCAGTTCGACGTCAGATTGGCTTTTCTGTATGGCAAGATCGAGGGAGCGGACGTTCACCCAGAACAGCCTGAGGGATTCGACGACCAGAGCGGAAGAGTGTGTCATCTCAAGAAAGGGTTGTACGGGTTGAAACAGAGCCCCCGGTGCAGGAACAAGCGGTTTTTCGAGTTAATGAAGAACGCAGGACTTCGAAATAGTCAAGCGGATCCGTGCGTGTTCTCGAGGCGCCGTGACGGAAAGTATCTCTACGTAGCTATCTACGTAGACGATGGTGGTCGGCAGCAGCAAAACCGAGATAGACTTCTCCCTCGAGCAACTGACCCGTGAGTTTAATTTCACGACAGGTACACTCGACAATTTCCTCAGAATGAAAATCGAGCGGATGATGATGAGGAAGACGGTTCGAACAGTGTGAGTCACGCAGCCTACGTGAACACCATTTTACAGCTATTTCGGATGGCTGAGTCGAATCCTCTCTCAACCCCGGCGAGTATTGTTGAAAGCGAGGTTGGTCGGGATGTGTCGGGTAAAGTTCCGAATCGTGAAGCTGTCGGCAGTTTGATGTATTTCATGACGGCCGCGCGTCCAGAGTCCAGACATCCATCCGCTGTAAGCAAAGCGTCAAGAGTCTTGGACAACCCCACCGAGAGGAGCTGGAATGAAGTCCAGCGTGTGTTCAGGTATCTGAAAGGTACCATGGATTATAGGCTGACCCACAAGGAAGGAGAAACGAAGCTCAGCGTCTTCAGTGATGCAGATTTCGGAGGAGACAGGACGACCCGACGGTCAACCTCCGGCGTCGTTGCTGTCTTCGCAGACGGGGCAGTTCCGTGGTCAAGTCAGCTCCAGCAGTCGGTTGCTCTGATTGCATTATAATAATAAGCACCACGGGAGCGGAGATCATGGCTGCCAGCGAGGGAGCAAAGGAGTTGATATTGCTCAAACGTCTTCTGGTAGACCTTTCCGGAAGGATGGACGCCCCTCCCACACTCTTCATGGATTCAGCAAGTGGAATACAACTGGCGAAGAATCCTGAATACCACAAGAGGTCCAAACATATAGAGATCAGACACTCCTTCGTGAGAGAAAGGTTCCTCAGCGGGGACATCACTCTCCAACATATCGAGGGAAAGAGGATGATCGATGTGCTCAGTCTGAGCGATGTCAGCTACCAAGTGCCGCGCGGTCCAGCGTACGTCGAAAGAGTCGTGTTCTCCGTATCCTACTGAACTTGCCAGGTTGACGGATCTTCTCAAGTACTGCTAGCATCAGGAGCATAGTTCAAAACAACAGAAGCTTCACTAGATCAGTCGGAATACCAGGAGGAGGTCAGAATTCTAACTTCAGACTGACGAGGACGCCTTCTGTGTGGTCACAGAGCAGAGACTAAATCTGCTCGTTTATTCGACGAATATATAATACGGTATCTGTGTCAAGGAGATTGTAGGTTGAGAGAGTGAATATGCGCAGTTCGCATCCGGGATTCCCTGAGTTTTTCATCTAGGTCGCTGGACTAGGAAAGTAGCCGATTGTGTCTATTCAGCAGCTGGTTCGATAGCATGGATCGGAGGTTTCTGACAAACGAGAAGAGAGTTAGGGAATTACATATTTCAGCAGCACTGTTCCGATTTCGACCGATCGGTCGAGCTCGAAATCGGCTCTGGTGGTCGTTTAGCGTTGCAGGATCCCTCTTTTCGATTCGAAAAGAAAGCAAAGGATCGCGCGGCGCAACACGAAGACGATGCGCGCTAAGGCGCTGCTTTCGCCCGCTGATCTGACGGCCAAACGGGACCTGTCGCCATCTTGTCCAGCGGTCCAATGACGCGGGGTCGTTGTTGGGAGAGCGGAGGCGATGATGCTTATGATCTTACGTGCCACTTCGACTCGACTTGGATGGCTCTCTTGTCTCTCCGCATCTGATTTCCGAGTCCCGAAGACTCACTCCGAAGACCGGGTCATGGCCCGCACCTCGACGCACGATTTTCCCGACTAAGTCGCATTACGTTGACTCATTGCCTTGACCCACTCTTCACCGGGGCCGCGCTCCGGATATCCCTGCGGACGGGGTCGACCGGGCTCTTATTCTTAGAGAGACTTGATCTCAGAAGGCGGTCTCGAATTTCCGGGCGGGGACCTTAACGGATTCTGTGGCTGATTAAGGCTCTACGGACTTCGGCGTCGCATGCCACTCCCGTATGGTCAGGAGGGCACTCGGATCTCTACCGAGTCTCTCAAATCTCCCTTATTGAGGAGTAATCGACTGAGAGAAACCGGAAGGATGGGGAGTAAGTTCAGACTCGAACTTTCTTATGAGCGCTGGAGTCGGATCCAGCAGAGTCAGCTCCCTACCCCTCCGCTTTTCAGCTCCCTCATTATCCGTGAAATTTCGCCGGAGTGTTTCTCTGCGCGAAGGATTCCATCCTCCACCGTAACTCGAGGACGTTTTCGTTCCGTTCCGAGGTTCCGAAGAGGGACGTCAGACGGTCTTCGTCCCGCGTACGCTCGGCAGGACTTAAATGACCTTCGGGTCCTTCACAGAACTCGCTGGAGGAGTTTGTTCGAACATTCTCGGGAGACTCGGAAGGAGCGCCCTGGTTGGTTCTGAACATTCAGCAAAGCTCATCGTTGTCACTGTCTGCTCCGTCCGTTCTCTTCTCTCGATTTAGCACGAGCCGCCTCCCGGTGGTACGAAACTTTCCACGGACCTGATGACATATCGCGTTCGAATCCTTCGGAGTCTCTGGAACTTTCATAGCGTAGTGGGTCCGATTTCATTCACAAAGGAAGTGGTGCGCCCCTAGGCTCTCGGCATCCAGCCGCCGCTCCGGCGAACAAACTCGGCTCCACTATTTGAGGTACCCCGGAAGCGCCACATTGTCGCGGATTTCTAATTAAGACTGTCGGACCTTTTCTTGATGGACTCTATTCCGCGGGACTCAAATCTAAGATTGCTATGAATGGCTCGTAGAGAGTACCGAACTCCTTTTTCAGAACTTTCGTGTAATTCTGATCGACCGGGGCCAACTACCGTTCAGAAGCGGATCAGCTGACGAGCTGTCAAAAGACGAGCTTCGATAATCGGATGCTTGCTCTTCCATCGAATCTCGTCCGGACCGAGCAAGGGTGCCTGAGAGTTCAGTGAAACGTATGTCATTCAGCGTCAATGGACTCCGGGGAGAACAACACGCTTCCGTCGGAACTCTCCTGGAAACAGACCGTGCTCGAACGACTGAGCAATTATCCAATTCTCGGAAGCGTCCCTGAGCTGAAAGTTGTTTTCACTCAGGATCTAGGTCGGAACCTGAGAGCTCAGGACTCGTCCCAACAGCATGCGGAGACCACGCCTCCGAGCAGGGAGTTGCTACAAGAACTCTTGCGCGACGGCCGATTCCGCGCAGCTTTCTCAATGACCACAAAACTTCTATCGAGTGAGTCGGAGATTAGGAATGCATTGGAGATTTGGCAGTGTCGCATCAACCTGTTCATCCGACTTGGAGCCTTCTCGGAAGCCAAGCTGGAAATCGATCAGTTCTCCCAATTAGAGGATCTACCAATACAATTTGGTCAGAACTCCACGAACGGCGGAGTTCCCTTCACCTTGCTCCTGTCGGTAGCACACCTGCACATCCTGTGTGGTTACAACGATAGAGCCCAAGGAAAACTGACTAAGCTACTAAACCAAAGCTCCGAGAACATCGAGTATTTCAGAACACGAGGCAAGGAGGATTTCGCGCAGCTCTGGGAAGACCGGCGGCTGAAGGTTACCGCCATGTTAGTCAATTACGGAGTGGAACAGAACGATTTCAAGTTCGCGATCGATGCTCTCTTCGACTACCGTGACCGACAAAAAGATCCTCTCGAAGTTGCGAAGATTGACTCGACGATGGGGAAACTCTTCCTCCAATTCGGTGACGTTGCAACAGCCGAATCACTCTTCCAAAAAGCGAACAAACTCTGTCACGGAGTCGAGGGACAGCTGCAAATCTTGAAGAATAACGCGTTGCTGAGTATCGCGAACGGGAACTATCAAGCAGCTCATGCAGCTTATGGGGAGGCATTACAGCTGAAGCCGGAGGATATAACTTTCATCAACAACATGGCTGTCTGCGCACTCTACATGGGTCGATCTGCGGAAGGCACGCAGCAAATCGAAGCGGCTCTGAACGCCAATCCCAACGCCATGCTGAACGAATGTACAGTCGGAAACATTTGCGCCCTGTATCGATTGCAGTCTATTGTCGGGGAGAATAAGAAAGCCAAAGTTAGAGAAATGGTTGCTCAGTACTGCCCAGAAACTTTCAACTGCCAAGCGCTGGAATCGGAAAGTTGAGAGCGATGTCACGCCTCGTAGATATGGAATTATCGTATAGTATGAGAATAAAAATGAGGTTTATTGGACGACATCGCTCCAGTCGGGTATCGACCGGGACAGGCGTTGGTGAAGCTCGTTCGAGGATACGGCATGTGACTGATTTCTTATTGGAGGGGGTTTTCCTTTAGTTCTACTGGATTCGGCCATGAATTACCTAGGTTGCATCCTCTACATGATCCGAGAGCTGAAGTTGTTTGGGTTCTAAAAACCGGAATGCACCCGATGGAATTCGCTGACGACTGGCTCGAGCGGACGTATCCTTCCGTGACACCTGTTCCCCGGTATTTCGGTTCAGCCAATCATCTCTCGTGGAGAGCATATCGTCCGGCCGCGCGAGTCCTTCCGATGATCGTGAAACCTATATTCATATCGAGATCAGAATCGCTTTTCGTAAGCAGTGGGCAAGCATCCAAATGATAAGAAGATCTGGAGGCACCCCATACTCTCGAGCATCGATCCTATCTTTTCTCCATTAGTCAAAGCTCTGCCTCTAGGACAGACATCCTGCGACCGATATTTTGCGACAGAACATGCCCGGTCGGGACTCGAATTTCAACGTTCAGTGGGGAACCAGTGCTACATGAGCCGGCCGATGACGATCGCACTCCACAATCAAAGTCCCGTGGGGGCTGAAAGGCCATGATGTACGATTGAGATCCCAGAGCGACATGAGCGAATACCACTATTCGCTCATCCGATAACTTCTGTAGCCATCGAGGCTCCGAGTAATTTCCCCGAATCCCTTTCAGTTGCCCTTAGTCAAATCGGAATTTATCCCCAAACCTATCACTGACTGTCTATCTCCCCGCCTGCTTGGGTTGCGAGAGTGCACAAGGTGACACGGTCGAAAACGCGACTTCGGTGAGATTGATCGGAGCTCTGGAGGGGTACACCCCAACAGTTGATTTCCTGACGGCGGCTCGCTGCGGCTAGGAGGCAATCAGAAGATGAACGGCGATCTCACTGAATGTTCCCCTATGGAGGAAGTGATTCGTGCTTCAAGCTCGATTCAAGATAGTCTCTGACACCTGATGACTCCTCTGAGTACCCTGACCCTCGTGCTTGTCCTTGCTCTCGAGGCCTCTCTAGTTTTGACCCGAACTCCGCCGCCCGGAGCCGGGGCAGCTGTGGCGGAGGGTCCCTTGTCTCTATTCCGGATCGGCAAGCGAATCAACGTTCCAAAGTTATCATTTTGCCCTGAACCATTTTGTCGGCGATGGCTCCACTCATCCGGAATCTGCAGGACCCGATTCCACGAACGCTATATCAAGCCGAGTTTTCCAAGCACAGGCTCGTGTCTCAGCTCGAGCATGAATTTTGCAAGGCTTCGACGGCCGAGCAGAATATGTTTTCAACATCAAAGTTATCGGAGATCTTGTAATAATTGAGCTCTTCCCCGTCCAAAGCAATCCTGGAGGTCCGCTCACTGCGATCGGGGAAGTCTGAGGGTCAAATTCGCCTCCGTCATAGAAGTCATCTTGCAGGACCAGTTAGGTCAAACAAGTCTCGACGAGACGGCGTGAAAGTCACGCCGATATACAGGCATTGCAAAGGAAACTATTTTCTCTGTCGATTCTGCCGCATATCACAAGCAGAGTCGCGTCATTCATGGACTCCGAGACGACCAGGAGGTCGAGGGTCAAAATCCACGACATTATTGATATGTATTCTCCCTCGCGAGACACGTGCGCGGAGCACGTCGCTCAAAATATCCTCGTCGTACCCTTAAGAGATGTTGTCCTTGCTCTTTGTCTGAACGAAGTCGCGCGCCGACCATCATATAAGGCTGGTCGATAGGGGGGAACTCTTCTCCCGATGGAAGAGGAATCGCGTACCGATCGTTAGAAAACAGTCATTATGTGTGGACACGTTTCTGATAGGCTGCCTGGCGGAAATAGTCAGGCACGATACGCGTGCAGAGACCACCGTTTCGATCCTGAACGCTTTCGAAACTAGCTCACAACTCTCGTGGCATGCCGCACATGTCATCGAGGAGAGAGCCGCCCCGCACCGCTCCTCTCGTGAGATAGGGCACGAAAACGTGTCGACGATGTTTCTGCAGACGCCCGTCCAATATCGAAGACGTCCCGAGCAGAATGTGATACTGGTCCTCAACCCGATTCCCGTGTCTATTCGAGCCGTGCCTCATTAGGGAATCGGGTCCGATTCGTGAAGTGACTCCAACTCTCCCATGACTTCTCGATTTCCTGGTCTCCCAGACGATTGAATCCAAGCGCGCGCCGAGTCCCTAACATTGGGAGGTCCTGCCAGGTCAAAGTCATCTCAAGTCTCTCAGCAATCGGGCATGCGGTTGCTGGATGTCCCCAAAGAGCCGTCTTGGGCAAATGCTCTTGTTTGCGAACGAAGTCAAGCACATCCTGTAAGATGGGGCTGCCTTCTACATACACGCAGATGGCATCATTTTACATATAGCCGAAAGTCAACAGGATTGTTCATTGTAGGGAGATTCAGAGCTTCCTCGACGACCCATAGTGTTGGACGGTCAAGATGCGGCCGAAGCTCTTGATCAGAAAGTTCGGATTCATGCGCTCTGGCGCTAATAAGCCTCTATATGAATATCGAATCGGTGGTCGCGAACCCAGGGCTTGTGAAGGATCCTTCCAGGATCCCGGGGGTCCCCTTCTCCCCATCTGAGAAGTCGCGGGCCAAGTTGTTGAGAGAAGTGTCTCCGATCAGAGAAAAGTACGTCCAAGTGTTTGAGTCGTACAACCGCCCATCCTGGTCTAATGTTGTACGGTCCGAAATCCTCACAAGACGAGGCGATCGCGACCTAATTGAGCGGATGCAATGGAAATATGTACTCGATTATGACGCGGCGAGCTTGAGATGTGAAATCTCCAACTCGGGGATCATCCCCATCGCTGCACTTGGAGGGATAACGCTATCCTTACTCTTATTCCTATATACTGTTCAGTACGGATCCCTACTCCAGCGACCTTAATATTGGAAAATATTGCCCAGGTCACAGCAGCCTTGACTCTGAGCCAATGATTTCGGGCGAATTAACCCAAGCTTTCGCTGCCCTATCTTTCCGCGACCCACGCTCTCGGCTAGCTGAATCGAGTCCAGTCGTCATCGCAATCAGACGGAAACCCGCCGATGAATTCCACTACTCCCTCCCCAAAATGAACAATCCGCCGTGGCGCTCTTCCGCGATTTGCGATCAGTCGCATGCGGCAAATGCGTCGAAAATCAGAGGAGGACTCCATTCTCTATCTCCAGGGCAGGTTCCGTACTCTTAGGGTGATGCCTCCCTCCCTCCCTTCCATAGTCTATCCTTCTGATTGTAATTGCTGTGACCGACATGCAGTCCGCGCGGCATGCCAGCTGAGGGACCGAATTTCGGAAATCGTCTGAAAAAGGTCAAATCGTTCGCTGGGGAGGCGCGCTCATCTCCATACCAGCAAGCCTTACTCTTGCGGAGACATTGGAGCAGCGGAGATCTTTCCGTCCTAGCGGATTTCGTTTCTTGAGCTTACCGAAGGCAGTTCCCGGAATTCTATGCTCTGTATAATCCACAACCAAACTCTCCCAAATAAAATAGGTAATTTCGTACGTAATGATGTTTGCACAGGGTTGATTGCTCGAGCAACGATTTTTACCCGACCATCGAACCTTCTCCGAGCTCCCTTGTTTTGCCGAGCTCCTTGCTCTCCGACCCTCCCACTTGCTGAAGTCGGCCTTGCTCCGCCTTCGCCGTATATCGCGAGTTAAATTCTTTTCTTTTGGTCCGATTCGCGCCGGATTCTCGAGTCGAGCTCCATGGGTCGCTGGGGCTTCCCGATGCGACCATCCAGGCTTGCGTGCTGATGATGATCATCCAGTCGACCAGTTTCGGGAATGCAGTCAACTTTTTAGGAAACCGAGAAATCAATCATCAATCCAGGAGTCTCGACGGTCAGATACCGACGCGTTTCGAATTTGGATGTCAGAACGATCGGAAGTACGGGAAGGGAGCTCGACACAGCCAGTCTAGATCTCGCAAGGTTCAGAGGGATACTTTCGAATTCTGGTACTCAAGACCCTCAGGCAGGTGCAGAGCCCAGGTCACGTCAGAGCGCAACGGCTGTTGAGGAAGCCGGGTCGCTGTTTTTCATCCCAACTAAACGAGATCCGAAAAATCCTAGGTCGTCGGAAAACTCGATATGGGACACCCCCTACCCCGCACGATCGCCAGAATCCACGTCCTTCGAAAGATGTTCCTCTCCGACCCCGCCTCTGTAAGGAACGGAGTCGTCGCGCGAAGCATCCGTCGTGCAAGAAATTCATGTCATCAACCCCTAGCAATGAACAGTAATAGCGATCCGAACGCGGGGCGAGGATTGACGCACGAGACTCAATTTAATCAGTCTAACATCAGACTTTCGGGAAGCACGTATTTCAGGAGCCCGTCACGCCCATATGACAAGGACGATTCCGTGTGTCTATATTTTATTATACAGTCAACCGTAACCTTGAGGAAGGTAAGTCGACGACACCGCTAACGAGGAGCGAATCCCAAAGCTCCATGTTGACGGCAGTGATCGGCGTCGGACTCTCCCCGGAGTGGACTCCTCAGATTATTTCGGCGTGTTGACGAGATCCATTCCGGAAGCCCGGATCCTGACGCCGGCACCGTCTTGCTAGGATCCTCGGAGGACCGGAAACTCAAGGGTTACACTTCGAAGATCTCTAGGTGCTCGGATGGAATAGAACATCGCCTTCTGCCAAGCGAGGAACGCAGACCACGGAGGCCGGATTTGAGTCCTCGCCGATACGGCGTCATCAATGAGCAGACTCGGACACCACGGCGATGAGCTAGACAGGTCTGATCGGGTGAAACAAGTGTCGGAGTCTCTCAATCGGGCGCTCGGCTTCAGCGAGAAGAAAAAGTGTTAGTCGCTGGCCGTGTGCTGAGAAAAAAAAACTCATTACGAATCAAGACGCGTTTCAGTGAA